GCTGTGACACATGATTACCCTGTGTTGGATAATCCTGATGCCATTGAGAAGATTAAATGAAATAATGATGTAAATTGTTCAGTATGCAACGATGGAATTAGTGGTGTTATTATTGTCATACCATATTACAGGTGTCAACGCTGCTTCCCAATTTTGTTAGAAAAAATCTTTTATACTTTTTTATATAGAGGCATCAAAAATTAATTCAGGGCCAGGCGTGGTGGCTTAAGCCTATAATCCTAGTATTTGGGAGGCCGAGGCAGAAGGATCACTTTAGGCTAGGAGTCTGAGACCAGCCTGAGCAAGAGCCAGACTCTATCTCTACCAAAAATAGAAGAAATTAACCGGGCGTTGATGGCGAGAGCCTGTAGTCAGCTACTTGGGAGGCTGAGGTAGGAGGATGCCTTGAACCCAGGAGTTTGAGGTTGTGGTGAGCTATGATCATGCCACTGCACTATAGTCCTGGCAACAGAACAAGACCCTGTCTCAAAACAAAACAAAACAAAGCAAAACAAAACCAAGTTAATTCAGAGTTGACTTTAGGGAAAAGGATTATTTTGCATATAAAGTATACAGGTTCATAAACATATTTATTGGGAAATGAAGTCACATATGTAGTGCCTACATACTACTATCAATGTGACTTTGCAAATTATGAATAAATTGACACACTGAGGATCAACAAATATGCAGGATGTTAAGAAATCGAAAGAGTACTGTAATTTAGCAAAAGTTGGTGAAAGAATGGGAGTCACTTTGAGTAGCATTAGATCTATAGTTTTGGTTTTCAAGCTAACAAAAATAATAATGACAACGGCTAATACAAAGATCTATGTCTGTGGCAGTTAACATATTAACTCCAACTTTTTGAAACAAATGAGGAACAACAGAGAGTGTAAATACATGATGGAAATGAAAGATAGGCCTCAGGTTTTAAGAAAGTTTTAAAAAAGTTAGAAAATAAAATGGAAATGAATATGTGAAATTTGGACATTTGCCAATATGAGTGTGACTTAGAGAATCTTTGCTAAGGTTTGTCTGTACTTACTGTACTGCACTTTGCAGTTAGAAGTAAGATAACAAAGTCAAGGTGGAAGATTGGCATAGTGTTATAAGTTTGCATACTTGGTTGAGTTCCCATAATCCAAAGTCTGGTCCTCAGAGTAGAGGACCAGAAACTCAATTTTATAAGGTGAATACCGTGTTCAGAGGTCATAAGCCTCCTAGGAAATGTATCATCCCAACTAGATTCACCAGAGACTAATGCATTATTAATTTAATTTCTGATTTCTAAAATAACAATGGAGTCTATTCTTTTTTGAAATGTCACTGGATGAGAATAGAATCAAAATAGAGGAGAGTTTTGAAATATTTATCTAGGCCAGTGGTTCTCAACTAGGGGCAATTTTGCTGCCCCTCTCCTCCCTCTACCCTCAGTGGACATTTGGCAATGTCTAGAGACATTTGGGATATTGAAGCTTTTTGGGGATACTACTGACATCTGGCTGGTAGAGAACAAGGATGTTGCTAAACATCCTACAATGCACAGAATAGCTCCCCACCACAAAGAATTTTCTGGCTCCAAATATCAGCGGTGCCAAGGTTGGGAAACCCTGCGCTACTCTGCGGAAGAGCCACAAGGATACTTCTCAAGTAGCATATCTGATGTCCAATAGATATCATTCTCCATGTATGGTGCCTTTTCTAGACTCTCTAAAAATCATCTGTGCTATGGACTGAATGTGTTTCCCAAAATTCATATGTTGAAACCTAAATTCTTAACATGATGGTATTTGGAAGTGGGGCCTTTGGGAGATAATTACATCACGAGGGTGGAGTCCTCATGAATGGGACCAGTGCCCTGATAAGAAGATGAAAGGACCAGAACTCTCTCCCAACCTGAGGAAATATAGTATCAAGAAGTCGTCTCTCTGCCAACCAGGAAGAGGGCCCTCACCAGAAACAGAATTGGCCAGCACTTTGATCTTGGACTTCCCAGCCTTCAGAATAGTGAGGAATACATTTCTGTTAAGCCACCTAGTGTATGATATTTTTGCTATAGCAGCTAGAGCTATAACAAAAGATGATCTCTTTTTACAGACTTTAAGTAGATTTGAGTTTTTCTCACCTTCATTGCATTGCTTTATTGCCTCCCTAAGATTATATTCTACTCATTTTAGTTCAAAACAAGAGTCCTAAATCTCCTGAGCCACACATTTACAGACGATTTTTCATTAGACTATTTCTTTAGGTAGCTAACATTCATCCATTTTTATTACTAGTTTCATTATCAGAAATGTCAACTTAATTTGTGATTTCAGCTTACTTTGCTTCCATGTCCTTAATATATCCTTAATATATATATAGGATATATAATAATATATCCTTAATATATTAAAGAAACAGAACTTTTTGGATCTATTATAATTTTATTTTTGCAGGGTGAAAGAAATTTTAGCTCTGATTATTATCACACTGTTTTAACACAAGAAGCCTTTAGTAAAGGACTTCATGCTTACGGTTCTTAGGGTAGTCTACACCTCACAGCAATCAATTTGATAGATGAACACCCTTTGACTTTGTTCAAATATTTATCAGTTCTAAAGAACTTGCCAAGTTGGGTATTCTTTTATTCTGTTTTAATTTGGAAACTCAGCTTGAAGAAAATTCCCTTTTCAGTGAGCTATGTTTTAAAATAGTAAAAATAACGTAAAAAATTCATTTCAATGCTTTCTCAAAATGAAAACATTATTGTGATTAAACTTTATTTTCAGTCTGATCCCAATTGATCCACAGGTCCACAGGTTCAGCCTACAGGTTAATTCAGTTCAAAAGTCATTATGGCAAAATGGACCTCCTCCACACGATAGATTCTGGCAGGTAATGTATGTGGCAGGTCATCCATCCGTATTTACACCAGGTCCACAGAGGTCATTTCACCCACCGGTGCTTTCAGCAAGACCAGCTACACAATTTGCAGGGCCCAGTGCAAATCGAAAATGTGGGGCCTGGGTTCAAAACTTACGGAGAGAATAAAACCAAATGTAGGGTCCTTCTGACCTAGCGGCCCTGTGCAAACACAGGTTGCATGCCCATCGGGTCGTGTATTTACAATTTGTCAGTCTTACCTTACCACTAGTGAAAAAAATTTAGCTCTTTCGTAATCAGATTTAATTTTCTCGACGGGCAAAGTACACTCACGATCGGTTGGTTAAATCAGGGAAGCAAAGGTTAAGGGAAGATTTGCTGTGAATTATCAACCAGCAACTCTTGCTCAGTCCAACTAACGTTTATTGAGGGAAGAAAGGCGGAAACAGGACGTTGATGGAGATCCCACTACTTGTCAGGCATTGGAGATTCCAAATGACTCTTGTTTAACTCCAGCTACCAAGTAGATGAAGCAGAAAAACTTGGGGCGAGGGAGGGGGGACTTGGAATTATGCCCTAGTTTCTAAATAATTGTGGAGTTACACGGAGACCCTTTCCACGAGTTAAGTGAAGCCAGGACCTCAGGTCTATTAATGCCTTGGCTTCTTCCTGTCTCCTGTGGGAAGAGCCTGGGCGCGCACAGCAGCCAATCCCAGACGAGGTGAAGGTGAAGGGGTCTACCTTTAAACATCCTCGGGGCTGGACCTGACTCAAGCGCGCGGAGAGAACACCCGGGCGAAGAGCAGGTGCAGTTGCGGGGGTTGGGCCTGTGGGACGCCCACTCAGAGGCGCCGGGAAGCGCAATGCCAGCCAGGGGTCGGGCCGTTGGGAGTGGAGCCGTGGATCCGTGGAGTTAGGATCCAGAGCGGGCGAGCTCTGAGGGGCGGGACCTCGTGTGGGCGGGGCCGAGGTGAAGCCCCGGCGGCCATGTTGAGGCTCGGCCTTTCACTTCCGACCGCTTCTTCCGGCTCGGTGCTTCCACCGTCAGAGGTAGGACTGAGTCGGGACTGAGGCCCGGGTGGCCTTCGCTCGCCTTCACTTGCGGCTGCGGCACCGCTAGGCAGGTCCGGGCGGACGCCAATATCTACAGGCAAGATCGCGGAGACGGCGGCCCGGGCCCCGAGCGCCACCCAGGTGTGGCACGAGGCCGAGGACCTTGTCCCGAGATGCGCGTCTTCCCTAATCCCTTTTGCTTCGCCGAGCTTCCAGCAAAGTGTAACCCAGGGCGCTCGGGCGTGCCGCATCCCAGGGGAAACTCCCGCTGATCTGGTGCCCTCAACATTTGTACAACTTTTTACAAACCCTATTTTACAAAGACTTCCCTGGACCCCTGCCCGAAGTAGTTGTGTACAATTTTATTGAGGAAACGGGCCTCAACGCATTAGTAGCGCCCACAGACTCCTGATTTGCGGGGCGTGGGCTGGCCGGCCGCCCTGGGCAGCGTCCATGTCCGGGCATGGGTCAGGAGCGCGCACTGGGGGGTGCCGAGGGGAACCTGCACCTTCGGGTCGGGTGAGATCTGCTCGGGTTGTAAAATGCTTTCTGCGCTGTAGGGGCCCGGGGGTCATTTCCGATGGGACTGTCAGGGAAATGGCATTTGAGCAGACCTTGCAGGAGGGCTTTCCATGTTGCAGGGAAATAATAGCTCTTGTGTGTGTGCATGTCATGGCAAGCCGTAGTCTAAGCACTACGTGAGTTAACTCATTTAATATCTGAAACAACTCTATCAAATTGATGGTATTATATCTCCATTTTGCAAATGGGAAAATGAGGAATACAGAGATTAAATAATAGCTTACCCAAAGTCGTGGAGTCCTAAGTGTTGAAGCCA